GGGCCCGGGCTGGGGATTCGAACCCGCCACCTTAGGTGTACGTGGCTGGCGCCTTAGCCGCTTGAGCCACAGGCGCCAAGCCAACAGTGTGGACATCTTGCAAGGGCTGGGCATTATTTAGACTCCCACATCAGTGAAGCCACGTGATCACAAATTGAGACTTCTCTACAAACTTGAACATCCAATTAGACTTCCTAATCCCTTGCTTTCTTTTCAGATGCAGAGAGAAATTCTTTATGCCAGAGGAGATGGCCCTGGTGCCTCCCGGCCTGGATCTACAGCCCATCCACCCCACATGATTCCGAATTCCCCACCGTCCACTCCTGTGCCGCATTCCATGCCTCCCTCCCCATCTCGAATTCCTTATGGGGGCACCCGCCCCATGGTCATTCCTGGCAATGCCACCATCCCCAGGGATAGACTCTCCAGCCTGCCGGTCTCCAGACCCATCTCACCAAGCCCGAGCGCCATTCTAGAAAGGAGAGATGTCAAGCCCGATGAAGACATGAGTGGCAAAAACATCGCCATGTACAGGAACGAGGGTTTCTATGCCGATCCTTACCTTTATCATGAGGGCCGGATGAGCATAGCCTCTTCCCATGGTGGCCACCCGCTTGATGTCCCCGATCACATCATTGCATATCACCGCACGGCAATTCGGTCAGCGAGTGCTTATTGCAACCCCTCTTTGCAAGCGGAGATGCATATGGAGCAGTCACTGTACAGACAGAAGTCAAGGAAATATCCAGATAGCCATTTGCCTACCCTGGGCTCCAAAACGCCCCCAGCCTCGCCGCACCGCGTCAGTGACCTGCGAATGATAGATGTCCACGCACATTACAACACCCACGGGCCCCCCCACACCATGCAGCCAGACCGAGCCTCGCCCAGCCGCCAGTCCTTTAAAAAAGAGCCTGGCACCTTGGTGTACATAGAAAAGCCACGGAATACTGCAGGATTTTCCGGCATGGTGGACCTCGGCCCTCCTCTAGTTGAGAAGCAAGTTTTTGCTTACAGCACTGCTACGATACCCAAAGACAGAGAGACCAGGTAAGGGGTGGTAAGAGTGGCCGAGGGTGGTTGGTGGCCCTGTGGGGCTGTGGGCTGCTATACAGAGGTCAAACCAAGAGAACAAATGGCTGAAGGTGCCTGGCAGGTGCTGTAAAGAACACAGGAGGGGGGCGGTGCCTGTGGCTCAAATGAGTAGGGTACCAGCCCCATATATCGGAGGTGGCGGGTTCAAACTTGGCCCCGGCCAAAAAAAAAAAAAGAACACAGGAGGGGTGTCCTTACAGAACACAGGAGGGGTGTCCTTACAGAACACAGGAGGGGTGTCCTTACTTGCAAAGAGTTTCTGAATCAGCGGTGATTAAGTTAGGGATACCTATAGCCATGTCAAGGGGACAGGTACACCAACAAAGCTGTCGGTCCCGTGGGCCCCAGAGAGCATGGCACTAATAGCATTATTATTCATATAAATCTGAATAATTTGGAAGAAAATTATGAACAGAAGCCATTCAGACAACTAGATCAAGAGGTCATAAAAATTTTTCTTCCGTTGAAATTAAAGGAATATGTGGTTCCAACTCTACCTGTTTGAAATGGCAGTTTGTGCCTTTCCTTGGAGAATGCAATTCCATTCTCTCATCTGTTTATGGGAATAGAATGTTGTGATCTATCTTCTAGAATGATAAAAACTGAATTCACATGAAAATACTAGAATGGTTCAGATTTCATATTCATACAGGGTTGGTGTTAAAAAAAAATCAGCAAAATTTTTCTAGTGAATGAGACATTGCGGGGTATCTACATTTCTTTTCGAATAGATGGGTATTTTATAATTTAGCAGTCCAGAACATTCCTACTATAACTGGAAAACCCTCTGAAGTTCATTTAGTAGCAGAAAAGCTCATTTTGACAGAGGGCATTTTTCTGGCCTGAATTATTTGATGGAAGTCAACATAATAATTCTAATCATAAAAACTAATCAAAGAAATTAAGTTCAAAAGAGGTTACCTACTGTCACAGATAGGATCAGAAAAGATATGAAAAATATGTTCCAGATATCCAGTTGCTCAATAACTCATTAGAATTCCTCCTTCTCACTAAAAATGGTAATATCGCTTACGATTACATAACCTTTTAAACAGAAGATCAAAATTGTGAATGGAATGTGAACCATCTACCTGACTGTTTTCATATACAAGTCAGAAATCCCTGTCCCCGTTAGCAGAATGTTATCATGAAAGGGCTATTCCTCCTTATTTGTTCTAGGAATATCGCAGCAGAAAGATTTTAGAGGGAGGAAAAGAGAATAAATGTGAAAGTTTTGGAGTCAGGGATGGAACAAAAAGTTCTAAATCTCTCAAGGAGTTGAAAAAACAGCCACAGTGACTGGTTTGATTATGTACGACTTAGAAAAATTAAGGATTGCAAAGTAGTGTTTCTTCTCTCCTTTCCAGGGTCATTAGAAAGTGAAATTCTAAGTATCAAAGAAAGGGATCTTCTGATAACCGCAGACAGCCAAGGAGTATAGGATAAACACTCATAGTGAAGCCTTAGAACAGGCCAATGTCGCAACTAGAGAGGAATCTACCAAGATGTGCCAGAAGCTTAGAAGCTTGTGCTGGGGGCTTCACAGAAAGGATAACACACTGGTCCCTCACAGTGGACTCTGAGATGCTATGTGGGAAATGGCACGCCACTCAGGGATGAGACTTAGAGCTGTAAGAGTTCAGTCTAGCAAACGAAAGCAATCCATCTCCAGTATGTAATGTTGATGGTGGATCCCACCATCCCATCCTGGTGGGTAGAAAAGGATCAAGAACTTGAGTCTGTTGTGATCATATTAAGCTAATTCCACTGCTTTGTTTTTTGTTTTGGGGAGGGGGAGACAAAGTCTCACTTTGTTACCCTTGGTAGAGTTCCACGGCGTCATAGCTCACAGCAACCTCAAACTCTTGGGCTTAAGTGATTCTCTTGCCTCAGCCTCCCAAGTAGCTGGGACTACACTACAGGCAGCTGGCTATTTTTAGAGATGGGGTCTCACTCTTGCTCAGGCTGGTCTTGAAGCTGTGAGTTCAGGCAGTCTGTCCACTTCGGCCTCCCAGAGTACATGAATAACAGGCATGAGCTACCATGCCGGCCCCCACCGCTCTATTTTGGGGGGATTTTGTCTGCTTTCATCCCAGAACCTAGTTTGGTGTCACCATGTAGTTACTGTACATAATTTAATGAATATCATTGAGCCCTCTGTTTCAAGGATTTAATTATGGGAACCAAACGAATACTCCTTCGGCTGATCTCTGGAGTCTTCTCTATACCAAATCCTGAGGTCTTGAAGGATTTTACCTTTCATTACCACTCATATTCTCTTTTTTGAGACAGGGCCTCGCTCTGTCACCTGGGCTAGAGTGCAATGGTGTCATTGTAGCTCACAGCAACCTCAAACTCCTGGGCTCAAGTGATCCCCTTGTCTCAGCCTCCTAAGTAGCTGGGACTACACACACAGGTGCCACTAGGCCCAACTAGTTTTTCTGTTTTTGTAAAGCTGGGATCTTGTTCATGCTCAGGCTAGTCTTGAACTCCTGGACTCAAGCAAGCCTCCCAGAGTGCTGGGATTACAGGCGTGAGCCACTGCACTTAGCCAACCCCCAGCATTCTTATAGGGCCTCCATTTCTTAAAAAGGATTTGCCAGCCTCAGACACTTCCTTTTTATTAAACCTTGGAAATTTTTATGGATTTCTCTTTCACATGTTAGAAAACCTTTTTTTTCTTTGCCCTCAGTAGAGTACTATAGTGTCACAGCTCACAGCAACCTCAAACTCTTGGACTTACACGATTCTCTTGCCTCAGCCTCCCAAGTAGCTGAGACTATAGGTGCCTACCACAACGGCTTGCTATTTTTTGTTGCAATTGTCACTGTTGGTTAGATGGCCCAGGCCGGGTTCAAACCTGCCACTTTCAGTATATGTGGCTGGCGCCATAACCACTGTGCTATGGGCACTGAGCCTAGAAAACCTTTTGAAAAATTGAAATTATCATATTTCCAGAGTAACAAATATTAGAAAAGCTGGGTAAAAATGATTAATGTTCACCTAAAATACACTGTCATTATCAGTATCATATTCTGACATACGATTGTAATTATGAATATAATTATACATTTTCACATTTTTCATTTCCCAAATTGTGAAATAGCAGAAGAATTTATCCCACACACTTGCTGAGGTGACTCCTCACCTGTTAGGCGGCTCATCTGTAGAGGGTAGAATTGGAACGCTTGTGCATATATAGGCTGGCTGGAGTTCTTCACACAGAGACACACACAGACCACACCACACAAACACACAGACACATACACCAAAAGCACACGTATATCACACAAACACACACATCACACAGATACACATCCTAAACAGACACACATACACCACATAGATACAGACGTACACATTATACAGACACACACACAAATAGCACATAGACAGACACATGCCACACAGTCACACAAAGACACACACACACATCACCTACATTTAGAGTCATGTTATTCTTTTTTTTTTTTTTTAGAGACAGAGTCTCAGTTTATCACCCTCGGTAGAGTGCTGTGGCATCACAGCTCACAGGAACCTCTAACTCTTAGGCTTAAGCGATTCTCTTGCCTCAGCCTCCCGAGTAGCTAGGACTACAGGTGCCCACCACAACACCTGGCTATTTTTGTTGCAGTTGTCATTGTTGTTTATCTGGCCCAGGCCAGGTTTGAACCCGCCACGCTTGATATATGGGGCTGATGCCCTACCCACTGAGCCACAGGTGCCACCCTAGAGTTACATTATTGAAAGACCTGTCATCCCCCTACCCCTGGCACATGACAAAAGTGAAGAATGGTTCTCTAGTAAAAAGAACTTGAGTCCGGAACTTTTGCCCACAGCACTCCCACCTGTCTCCTCATCATGCCCCCAGCAGTATGTACCAGGGACAGAGGAGAGGTGTGGGGCTCTCACTATCCTCCCTTCTCTCCATCTGCAGCTCCCAATCTGCCCCAGAGCTCTTTGGGAAAGCCCAGCAACTGAGCTGACATGTAATACTATTGGGATTTATATAAGGAGGAAGAAGAGGCAGGTGGCAGCTGGCATTTACTGAGCCTTTTATGAGCTAGACATTATGTTGAGAGTAGTTCTGATATGTCATATGAAGTCACTGTTATGACAGCCTAGTGAGGTATGTACTATCATCATCCCTATTTCACAGATGCAGAAACTGAGACTCAGAGAGGTTAAGTACTTACCCAAGGTCACACAGCCAAGAAGTGGCCTAAAACGTCCAGGTCTATAAAAGAATCCACACTTTGTTGCCACTGTGCAATAGTCTGCCTGGTGAGAGAGAATAATGAAACCCACCTTCTCACGGCAGGGAAGTCAATTCAGGAAAAAATTCCGAGCATTCCAACCAGAATTCTTCAAAAATTGTTTCAGGACTCGATGCTAAGTAACTGCTCCTAAAGGATATTTACAATCATAAACACAGTATAATTTGCATAATTACGCTGCTAAATATATACATACCATTTAAAATATAACTGCCCTAGCTAGTATATTAGCACAATTATGCAGTAACAGGGAAAGAATAAGAGAACATCCTTGGTAGATTTTATTTTCGAAAAATGCATCTGAGTACTATGCCAAAGAAAAATTTTAAAAATTAAGGACACCAGAAACAATTCCCGGAGCACAAAATTATCATCCATTTTCTCACCTGTACCGTGATATTATTTAGAAATACTTCATCTGCACAAGTATTGTTAAAGAGACTTCAACCCTCTTAACACCTAATTTCATGAGTACAGAGTCCTGTAAAGTACCACACCAGTTTCTGCCGCAGTTGTATGATATTATAAAGCAAATAAATCTGAGAGTACATTTTATGGGAGACTCTCCAGTGAGATTTTACATCAGAGAAGTGAAGCCACAAAAGCACAGGAGGGAGGCTGCAGATGGGTTTTCTTTTGGCACCGTTGGGTTCCTATGCTGTTCTGAAGAGCACTTCA